AATGAAAACAGTACAGCTCTCCTACAGTGGTTTTATTATTGCAAAAAATCTCAACATGCTGAATTTGACAGACAATTTTTGCACAACAGTGTCCCACAAACAGCCATGAGGTTAATGGCCAGAACTTTTGCTACAGTTTTATTTTCACTTGGCTTAGTATATGCCCTTTCCCCAATTTACCTGCATTAAAATTATCGGTCTTGGATCTCTTTAACCAATGTCACAGCTGAATCTTGGAACTTTCAAACACCTGACCTTCTTGTACCATCTTAAGACTTAAGATCAATGGGAAGATATCTGCAGCATTTCATAATGCTTTCGAAGTGATGTCAGTCAAAATGTCTTACGCATCAAATCCATGTGATATCACATCAAATACAGCCCGGCTTTTCTTTTACAACATTTTCACCTGTGAGTCAGAAGATTGTGGATTCAAGCCCCAAATTGGGACTTTGAGCTAATTGCTGAGGCTGACACTCTATTGCAGTACTGGGTTGTTGCCAGAGGTGCCATTAACCTGCAGGTTTCAGGATTCTCAATGGGAATGTAGATATGAGGGTTGAACGCTAGAGATGATCTGAATCAATCCAATGAGATTGACTAAATAGCAGTTTAGCTTGTCAATTGCTGAGCCCCAAGCAGGTAATTTAATAAATAATTAATAAATAGTCTTACAGTAAGACAACTGAAGGGAATAAATACTTCTAAATAATTTGTTGACCGATTAAATTAATAACTAATTGATTTGCTTTGCTGAAGACTTGATTCATGGCCTGAAGGGAATAATTAATTGGTCAAACTGCACTTTTGCTCATGGACTAAATAAATAAATTGATTCCTTTGAAATCAATGAATCGCTACTGGAATGAAATAAATCAACGGGATCGGGATTAATTTGATGAAACTCTGTAAATAAATGATTTTCTTGGTGCAGACTAAGTGATTACTTCATTACACATTAGATAGTTGATCTGAACAATCACTGACTGAAGGGTACAGTTCATATTTACTCTATCCTCTAGGTATTTTCCAGCTTCTTTGCTCATTGTAGTGTCAAACTCCCTCATTGCTATCGCATCCCATATCACAGCCTAACTCCACCAGCCTTTTACATTTTACCAGCACCCTTGGCAATACATTTATGCCATAGAATTCCCTCAATATATTCAGCAGGATCTCAGATCATCCATTCTAGACTTTGAGTCATAGGGGATCACAAGAGAGCTTTGGAAATAAAGAAGGTCCTTTTTGTCAATTTAATCTCATCCTTCCAGAATATCCAGCCAAACATTCTGCCATTACAGGCATCAAGCTGTTTCTTAAATGAGTTCTAGTGTCTTAGTTTCAATAACCCTTCCTGGTAAGCTGTGACAGTTATTGATTATCCACTGTATAAAGAAATACTTCCTGGTCTTTGACCTCAAATTGCTCAAATCCCTATTGTGAGATAGGAATTATTTTACAGTCGTCTAAACCGAATTCCCATCATAAAACATTGATAGATCAGTATGTATTTGACCTTGGTGGATTAGAAGTTCCACCTGTGTTTACAAATTTTTAATGACCAACTAATGACTATCCTCCTTGTGGGAGGTAAGCAGGGACTCCTTGAAGCTAAACTGGCTCCAAGGTGACATGTTTGGCAATGGAATGTCAGAATCAAGCCAACCCTCTGGCCTTCTCGGTAGACCAGTTCCTGAGCCAGACGAGTTCTCCAGGGCACTGCTGATGACAGCACAGACAGCCTGACTCATCAGCAGGACATAGAAGGGCATACTGGTCATTTGGGGCATGGATTCTTCCCACTCAGCTTTTGCTAATCTTGCAAACCAAAACTTAGGCGGGTGATCCCAGCTTGACACCCAGTAGGAAAACTTGCCAGACAGTGTTTTCAATGGCAAGCTATGTAGTTTTAATTTGTTAGACTCTAGCAGTTACCCCAACACATTGGGGTCGTTAAGTCTTACACAATCCAGAATTAGGCAAACAGGATGCATTCTTCCAGGGAGAGAGTGCACATTCTTTTCCAAAAAATATTTCAGGAATTTCCATAGTGGGATGCATGAGTTCCATTTGGTCTGGATATTCTTAAGCATGGTGATGGATTCCCGCATGTGTCAGACACTCGGCTGACCCCCCAAAATTATTCTGTTCTCTTTGCATTTCAGAATTTGGTAAATTCATAAATACAACCTTAATTTTAAAAACATTATTCTGTAAATTATTTTGCAAACTGCACCAAATCAATTTGAAAGTCAAGACTGAGTTCAAGAAATTACCAGTGTCTGGACATTCCGAAATGCTAAAAAAAAGTAAATTTAGACACAGGTAAAATCTTAACCCTAATTGTTCCAATTTGGGGAGAGATGACAGCAGTGGCTGGGGAGGAAGCTTGATTTAGAGATGGGACTTCAATTTCCTATTAGGGTTTCAATGGTGTAAATGTAGTATTGGATGATCTTTGTCTACATGTCTCCTTGTAACCTTCACTCTGATCCTGTACCAGATATTAATCCCCTTCTTGTTTGAGAGAGTTAATCAATGTAGCATTAATTGCCTTCATTGATAGTCAATTCCTTCTGGTCTCACTTGAAGCTTGTTAATTTGTTTTTTATCTTCTCTAATTCTACAGTTTAAATTAAATAATATGATTATATTTACATTTATTTCTGCCCCTCTTTAGTGCCTCATTCTTGAGTGAAAACCAGATCAATCCTATCAGTCTATTTACAACTTCATTGCCCTCAATATTAGAGTCACTTGTCTTGCCCGGTACCCTTTTGAGTCGAAGACTACAATTGTACATTGCGAGGTCAAACTCATAGTCTGTATGATAATCATCACATTGAATTGGTCGGAGACAAACACCAACTCCCATTTTATCCCCCCACCCCACCATTATGCTCTCCATAGTGATGAAGCCAGGCCATCAAGATTTGACTTGGTGTCTGGATTCAGCTGGCAGGTAGCAGGCATCATTTTTTTTCATTTATAAAAAAAAACATGATCCAGTAGAAGAAATCTGGTGACATAGCAAAAAACACCAGTCATAATCTGGTGGAATGGCAGATTAGGCTTGAGGGCTTGAATGGCCTACTCCTGTTCCTATCTTCCTAATCCAGTGTTCACTGACTTGACCTCATTAACTACACCATTTAGAATGGATGGGGAGTAGGGATGGGAGTTTTGGGGAGTGGGAAAGGGATGAGGGCGGTGGGGTGGGGTAGTGGTGGTGGGGGAATGAAAAGGATGGGATGAGGAAGAGTTTGGGGAAAGCAGGGGTTTAGGGAGAGGAAGTGGGAAGGAACATGGCGGTGTTGAGGAGGGGATTGGATGGGGTTAGAGGTTAAAGAGGGGGAGAGGATGGGGTTAGAGGTTAAGGAGGGGGGAGGGGATGGGGATGGCGGTTGTGGATGGGGACCGGTGGGGCCATTCATTGTAACAAATGTCACACAGACTGCATATTACAGAACAAAATTCAAAATATGGCCAGGCTAGTGAAATGCAGTTACAGAGTGAAAACAGTTTTGCTTCAGTTTATAATCAAATGCCTTTGAGATGCATGTCAGTACTTTTATAATTGTCTCTGAGCCAAGGGCAGCTCAAAGGGACACAACACAAATCAAAGTGATGAATCTGCTGACGTTTCAAATGGCTTGGTTCACTGCTGTTTGTGAGCGTGGGGTGAAATTAGATGCATTTCATAACTTATTGGATAGTCATTACATCAAGCATCTTATGAAGTTGCTCTAATTTTACTGCAAAATTGCAACACAGTCCCTTTGGTGCTGACTGATCCAATCTAATGATCTACGGCCAGATCTGGCTGGACTGTGTCAAAACTTACCGCTCCACCCTTGTCTCAGATAAATTGTGCTTCTACTCCAAGATCAACCTGGAGGCCAAGGACAGCCCCAGACTTCTCTTCTCCACCACAAACCAGGCTCCTTTGTCCACCTTCCCATGCCTCGCCAATCCTCTCCTCCAACTCCAAATGTGAGGAGATGATGGACTTACTTGAGTCCAAAATTGAGGGATTTGGTTCTGCTACCCCTGTCCTTTCTACTGCCACATCCTTCCCACCTTCCTCACCCCTCCGGCTCCCACTCATCCTTCCCTCCACACTTTATACCCTGTCTCCCCCTTTTCTCTCACCTCCATCATTTCCTAAATGAAGCCCATCACGTGCTCCATTGATCCTACCCCTAACCCTTTGCTTTACCTCCCAACTCCTCCTCTTTGCCCCCCTATTAACAGATATCATTAACCTCTCTGTCTACTGGCACCGTTCCCACCCCCTTAAAAACAGCTGTATTACCCCACCCTCAAAAAACTTTCCCTTGACACATCTCTCTTCTCAAACTATTGTTCCATCATCAACCTTTCTTTTCTTTCCAATTTCCTGGAATGAGTTGTTGCTTCCCTTGTAAATCTTTATATCAAATGGAAAGAAGATTTCTATTATTATGAAGTAGGATGTGGCTTTTTCCCTCTCAGTCTACATGTCTCCCTAGAAACTCCACCTACGAGTTAGAAACCTATAACACTGGGTGTCTGGTGAAATACTGAATTGATGCCGCAATTATTAATTTCTTGGCTTTTTCATATTGTTTGGGTCAGCATGCCTGACACATGTGGAAACCTATTGCCATGCTTAAAGAGTTATCCAAACCAGACTGAGAGTTCCACAAATGCAAGTGACCTACACATGGAAATTCCTGTGTTTGGAATGGAATGCATATTCTCTCCCTGGAGTGACACATCCTGGAGAGTGTTAGGCACAGATAGGCAAAAGCCAAGGCTTTGGGGACACTAGACATTGAGGTACCTCTTGAGTTTAACCAGCTAAAACCATAGCTTGCTGTTGCAAGGCTGTCTGTGCAGCTAGGACCACATCTATCTGTTAAACGACTATCCGTGAAATTAACAGCATGAAGAAAATTATCACAGCACCACACCTTCTCTCTTTCAGTGTGGTCACAATTGAAAGTATCACTAACCTGGAGGTAATGGCACGGCCGTAGGGAAGGTTTTATTTCCTGATGAACCAGAGGTTTATCCAGATTAAGTGATGACTTGCGGTAGGCTTCCTTGGCTTGGCTCACGGTCAGGGTGGACCAGGAGCTTCTTTTCATGAACTTCCCATCGGGTGTCATGGGTAGCCCTTCACAAGCAGAGCATTTGATGTCGTTGTTGCTTTTCGACGTCTTCAAGGTGAGTTCACCGAAGGCTCCCTGAACACCTTCCGGATAATACTGAGAGATATGATCAATGTGGTGCCGGCTCATCGCACTGGGAGTGCGGTAAGTGCTGTCACTGTCCAGGTTATCATCCGAGCTCCACCAGCCGGTTGCCCCAGGCTTGTGCTTGGGTTCCGGCTTGCGCTCTTTGCTCTTGCTCCTCTTGCTGTGTTTCGGGTGATGGCTGTGGTGATGGTCGTCCGAATGCCGGCCGTCGCCTTTGGTGCCATTCACGTTGCCTTTGGAGGCGCCTTCCAGGGAGTGTGACTTGGTGAAGAGCTTCTGCACGGAGTGTACCAGGTGCCGTATCCTGCCGGGGCTCTCGCTCCGCTGCTCGGCGGTGGTGGACGTCCGTTGGTACTGCAGCGTGTGGAAGCCGTCGCGGTGGAGAGGCAGCTGCTTCTCAAACTGGTCCAGCAGGTTGGCCGGGATGCGGTTGATCTTGCTGCCCGTGTGCGTGACGCTGGCACAGTCGTCCCTGGAGTCGTAATGTGAAGTGTAGTGCATCCGGGGGAAGGTGCTGCTAGACATGTGCTCACCTAGCATCGTGGGCATCATCATGCACTCAGAATGTATGGAACTCCTGGGCGAACAGCGGTGATGGTCCATTTGGCAGCTGTCGGTGGGGCTGAGCAAGTATGACTGCCTAGAATCCAGCCCATGGTGCATATGGTCATGGGAATGCTCACAGTCCTCAGTCACCAAACCACAAGTGTGTCCTGAGCTCAGCTGAGGCTGGGTGCGGCTGCCAGTTAATCCCTTCATGGTCCTGGATGAAGGAGAATATATGTCCTCATTGAAGTGCTGTGAAGGTGACCATGAGAACGGCTGGTCTGTCAACAAAAGACAACAGAAGCAAGTTAATCCGAACATCAGTAAAGAATCTGACAGTCTTGCTATTTTGTTAAACACCAGCGAATGCAAAATAAATCAATGCAACCTTTATAAAGCCATCGATTTTGCGTCCCAAGTTACTCTAATAAAACTTAATACCGGCTGGATTCATGATATTATTTTGGTTGCCCATCGTTTTGTTGAAACTGGGGAAATTAGTTCACATCTGTTTCCATCAAAATACCAGGCACAGGCCTGAAAGGGATATTCTTTGATTAAATATCACAGTCCTGTGAATGCCAAATGACAAATACCAATATACTCATCATTTGTAGCATGAAAAATTTAAAACTGATTTTTCATTAGGTTGTAATAATACGAAAGAAAGAGACCGTGTTTTAATTCACCCGGCCCTTCAATTTAAATTATTTTCTAGTTTTCATTTTTGTGTGGAATTATAGGACGAGTAAAACATTCTAACACTAGAATAATATTCTTTTGTCAACCAATATTTTTTAAAAAAATGCTTGCAATATAGTTATAAGGTTATAACTAGGAATGTGAGGGGGAAAGATTGTACTCTTGTGCAAGGATATAGATCAGCCTGGTTCGGTGGGTAACACTTTCTCCTCTGAGTCAGAAGGTTATGGTATCATGCTCTATGTTGAGACTTTGTCAGTTTAGGCTGACACTTTAATGCAACAACAATAATTTGCATTTATATAGCATCCTTCACGTAGGATAACATCTCGGAGTGCTTTACTAGGATGAGTTGTAGGTTGAGCAAGAGAGAGAGGAGAGGGGAGGGAGGAATGGGCAGGTGGTTGTATGCACATTCAAAGACAGGATTTGCCAGGGTACTTCATGATTTTCAGGAACTATAAGGAAATACAGGAACTTGTGCATGTTCTGCTGATGGATGAGAATGTTCTTTGTCCCTCGTCCTTTGTTATTCATTCATGTAACATTAGATATTGATACACATTACACAATGTTAACGTTTGCCTTCAAAACACACAATTATTACATTTTACAATAAATCCTGTGAAGTTGTTTGAGACATCCTGTGACGTGACAGTTGCTATACGAAATGTAAGGATTATTTTTGATCCAACCTGCCTTCTGCACCCTCCCCCCACTCGACCATTCCAACTCCATCAAAATCTTATATTTTTGTTTTCCACAAAAAATCTAAAATGGAAAATCTACCACTGGGCTATTCAGTGACAACAGATTAGTGTATTGTCCCTGCTCCTCTGGGGGTTTGGGGTGGAATCAGATTAAATCAGACACATGCAAGTCTCCCTTTCTTGGTAGCTATTTTTGGGGGGTCAGCCAGGTGACTGACACATCTGGAAACCCATCATCATGCTTAAGAGAATCCAAATCAAACTGAGATTTCCACGCATCCCACCTACACATGGAAATTCCAGAGATAGATTGTCGGAATGGAATACGCACTCTCTCCCTGGAGAGACACATCCCGTTTACCTAATTCCAGAAAGTATTAGGCGCAATTTGGCAACAGCCAAGTCTTGGGGACCCCAGAGTGTGCGTTGGGGTCCTGCTGGAGTCTAACAAGCTAAAACCGAACAGCTTGCCATTGATAAGATGGTCTGGCAACCTTTCCCCCTGCTTGTCCAGCTAGGAAGCTTTATTTGCAGATGACCTAATGTGATCTGCAAAGAAAGCATCAGCTTTACATAATCACTGATCACTAGGCTGACAATCCAATATAATGCTGGGGGGACTGTTGCATTATTGGAGATATCGTCCTTCAGATGATACATTAAACTGAGGTTAAGGTGGACCCTAAAGGTTGCATGGCACTACTCAAAAAGAGCAGGGAGTTTCTCTTGGTGTCCTGGGCAACAATCCCCCAAATAAAATTGGTCATTCATATCATGGCTGTTTTTGGGATACCACTGTGTTGATTACATTTGTATAGCGCCTTTCACGTCGGGAGGACGTTCCAAGGTGCTGGGCAGTCAGGGATTCAGTACAGTACAGATATCCTGATGTGAAGGGTGCTAGGTCAAATGCAAGAATTATTATTGTTATAATCAGAATTTATAGCGGGTCAGGACAATAATTATGAACAAGTAAATATATTGCAGATATTGGTACGGAACACAACACAACACAAGCAGCTGCTCTGTAATAAAAGTGGCTCTTCAGTTTTCTGCGTTGACAATCAGAAGCTCATGTCAGCCCAACACTGCACTCTCTGGTTAATTACCATTTCATTGTGGCCAGGTCATCTTTTCATACCAACCGTGATTGATTCCAGTATTAAGTGGTATGGAGAAAGAGCTGGGAAATGGGATTAAAAATAGAAAGAGCTGCCACCATCTAACAAAGAAAGGATCAGTGAGCTGAATGGCCCCTTGTCTATGTCCTGCCACGCTGTACTCGATGGATCTAATCATCTTCACAGTGTGATCCAGGGTTTAGTCTTCATTTCCACTTAACACTTTCTTGTTAACATTGTGCCCCCTAAAGTCCGAATGCTGCATTGATATTCTGCTGCTGATGGATGGCTGCCTCCAATGGGAGTTGTCGCCATGTCTTGAGGTGGGATTTCATCCCATTCAGAAGGCTTCGATACAAGGGACAGCAAGATAAACAGATTCACACCCTTCACCCCCACCCGCTCCCATTGTTTCTGACTATGGGAGGCTGAGCTTGGAGCTATCTCCACAGTACAGCATGTGACATCAGCACCGCTAATCACTATACGATACAACATGATTATATAAACATAAATCTAATATTATTAAAATAAATATTACACTTTGAGACACCCTCCTCATTGGGAGGGCATCTCAAAGCACTTTATACTGCTGATTTGGTACCAAACCAGGGGTGGGGAGCTGAAGAAAGTGGGTGGGGGGGAAAGATGACTAAAAGCATGGTCAAAGAGGTACATCTTGAGGTGGGCTTTGGAAGTGGGGAGGAAGTGAGCGAGCCAAAGGGATTCCTGAATGGAGTTCCAGAAAACGGAGACGGAATGGCTGAAAGCCCGTCCATCGATGGTGGGGTGGAGAGGGTAAGGACTTACTCTGAGATCAGGGAAAGTGCATGATTCTTAAGTTGCAACTTGGTTGCAAAAGCAAATATACAAAATCCAAGTACCAAGCACTTCAGAATCATTTCTGTTTGACTATAAAATGGTCTTAAATATGCTGTAACACAGAACAAAGCATAACGATAATAATAATCCTTGCATTTGATATAGCACCTTATCATGTCATTGAGACATCTCCAAGTGCAGCACAGAATATATTGTAAAGTGTACTGACTGTATATTTTAGATAAAAGTATAAAAGTATATTTTAGACAGATAAAAGCAATCATTCACTTTATGGCTGCTTGTGGAACATTGCTGTGTGCAAATTGGCTGCTGCGTTTTGTTACAAAATACAGGCACTATACTATACTCTCCTTGTCGGCCTCCCCAACTCTTCCCTCCACAAGCTGCAGATTATCCAGAACTCTGCAGATTGTGTCCTCTCCCACACCAGGCTCCGTGACCCCATCACCCCCACCCTCGCCCGGCTCCACTGGCTCCCCATCCCCCAGAGGACAGAATTCAAAATTCTCATCCTCACTTTCAAGACCCTCCACGGCCTTGCCACCTCCAACCTCTCTGACCTGCTGACCTCCTGTCAACCTGTCCGCTCCCTCCACTCAGCAGGCTCCAGGTCTCCCGCCCGACCCACCCTACCTTCGGCGGCCGGGCTTTCAGCCTCTCTGTCCCCACTCTTTGGAACTCCATCCCACAATCCCTTTGCTTTGCTCCCTCCCTTGCCTCCTTCAAGGCATGACTCAAGACCCTCCTTTTTGACCGTGCCTTCAGCCGCCCTCCCACCATCTCTACCCTCCCTCATCCCAACCCTGTCTCCCCCACCCACACTCGGGACCTGATCCCTGACTGTTCAGGACCTTGGGACGTCCTCCCAACATGAAAAGCGCTTTACAAATGTAATTTTGTTGTTATTGTTGTACACAGTAAATCCTGTGAGATGCTTTAAGAGCTCCCCCCAACGAGAAATGTGCTATATGAACTACAAGGATTATTATTTTTATGATTTGTACAGCGGGAAACTGTGAAATGTAATTATGTTGCTTGCACTTGTCATGATTATGATGCGGTGCTATTCTGTGACACTTTTCCAAAACAGCAATTATAAACTTTCAAAGTTTTTTTTTGGAGCATTCTTCATTAATACCATCTAATAAGTCTGGTATCCTTCAACACATTGAATATCAGGCAGCAAACTATAAAATGTATAATGGAGGTTAAAATGCTGTAATTATCACAATATGGGACTTCACAACACTTTTTAATTTCCCACTGTGCTGATTCCAGCATTGGGAGCTGGTCTGAGCAATCCCAGTCTAATTTAACCTTTATGGAAAGCCATGGGGTAATGGCAAAGGACCTATCCAGGAGGCACCTTTGGCTGCAATCAATCTTCAGGTTGAAACCAATATCCAAATGGAGTTCCAGATGGGAAGCCTGAGACATTTTGGGCACTTCAGGGTTCTCTATGTACAGATCCTTTTGTAAGTGGTGTGGACTAGACCCCACCAATGCCCAATACAATCTCCCTGTCATTACCCAGAGATTATTTCTGTATAAACCGGCAGCAATGATATTAGAATGCTCCATTGGAAATGTCAAAAAGAGAAAGGAGTTTCTCCCGGTCTCCTGGCCAACAATTTCCTAAATAAAAATTGGTCATTCGCTTATGGCTGTTTGTGGGACATTGTTGTTTGCAAATTGTCTGTTGTGTTGGCCTACAAAATACATAGTTACCACATATTATAGTATATCCTGTGAAGTGCTTTGTGACATTCTCCTAGTCCTGCAAAATATTATTCCTATTATAGATTATATACTGTCAAACCATCAACCATCAGCTCAACTATCCTAATGAAAC